GGAATCGAACCCGCGGAACGTTGCCCACCCACGATGTGTGCAGTGCTGTGCAGTTATGACATAATAATATGTGATGTCAAGACATAATATGTATGTATATGTATAATAATATGTATACGCAAAAAAATCACAATGAAACGTCGCGACGCGGTGCGGAAATAAAGTTGCAGTGCGGACAGTCTCTTTTACATAGGTACTAAATACCTACGTAAAAGGTTCAATGAACCTTACCATGTGTACGTAAGGACCTATAGGAAAATATTTTGTTAATAAATTATATCCGCTTTACATATAGCGTATAGTTTCCTACTTTCAAAATTGATTTATAAATAAAACCATTGTTCAGCGAGCCGTTCAGTATAGTATCTACCTACTAGAATAAAATCGAAATTAAAAATATTCGTAGAAATATCGAAAAACGGCTTACTGTTGTTTAAGGATCAATTGATTTGAATCTACAAGAAACTTCATACTAATGAAAGAAACGAGTTGCAAATAACGATAAAAAAAGATTTATATTCCTTGCAAGGAACAAGTATCGGGCGGACGGGTTGACGTCCCCTGCGGTATTCCATGCACCATCTTACAGTTTTTTTTCTTTTAAATAACTACAGGGTTTGAGGACTTCGTAACGTTTACTATACATACCAGTGACGCATATTTTTAATGATTTTGATACTGATTTTTGATTAAATTACAGTTCTTTTAGCATTCAACAGATTACATGATTATCTTGAATTGGTACTAATGTTACCTAATGATGTAGTAGCAAACTTTAGCCTTGAAGATTTGACTTGTCAATCTGCAACTTTGGTCTTAGTTTTCGGCCTCCGCTTGCGTGAAACCTTGGAAGAAGTGGTCGCACCGCAATATATTGACATCTCAACTCACCCAGAAAGTTAAGCTGACTAATTAATCAAAAAGCTGCTAGCAAAATATCACATTTGGTATAAATATTCAAACCGCGAATTCCAAGATTCTGAAAAAAATAATTTATTAACTCAATTTTTAATTTACGAACCAGAACATTGCTGCCACCGTGCTTCCATGTCGCTTATTACTACCCTGTGCGTTAAAAAAAAAACGATTAAATCCAAAAATAACTGAACCGGTTGTTAAAAAAAAATACTGGGAACCATGTGGCTACGGGCACTGGGGGGATACGAACTATGTAGCATTTTTGCAGACCCAATGACAGCCAATGCGAATGTTGTTTATATTCAATACACGAAGTCAATGACCTTTAGCAGTTCAAGTCATTTCTGTCCATCTATACATATAGAGCACTCATAACATTTCTCAATTCAATAAGATACATGGACGCAATTTTTCTCTAAGAAGAAAAAAATTTCGAAAGAAAGTGAGAAAATGTAAGATATTCACGCCATTAACTTTTTTTGGAAATAAAAATAGACAGAAAAGTTTGTTTCGGCATTTTTTGTGTAAGAGGCTTTAAGTTGATATGATAAATGAGAACTTCGAAGGATGCGGACATCTATCAACTTTCTAAATTCATAATGTATCTACTATACTTATATTTTCGCTTTCACTAACAATAATGATATCATGACAGTTTTTAATGTAAATTAGTACTCGTAATGTCTGTATTCTGTGGTATTATGGTGGAGCAAACCTCTCCATACTTTTTTTATTAACTGTTGCGTTTTCATTTAAAAAAAGATGTGTAAAACTTCTCCTTCAATGAAAACAGACAATTCGCGTTATTTATATTGTGCTTGTAAGATTTAGATTAATTAAAATTATTTTATGAGTAATCTAAGTAGCCTCGGGATGCATAAAAGGTCGGAAAAACTTATATTATTGTACATTTCTTCGTCTAATATTCAATTTCTATATTTTTCATTATTTCTTCAATATTCTAATTGTAGTATTAACTGGAATTGTGTATGATATAGATAATAAGTAAGGCTTACCAAATATTTTTTTTACATATCTCTCTAAATACGTTTTCGTACCTTAATAATGTACACCTCAGAGTACTTAATCATGTTATACACTTTATAAAATTACGAAAGTAATCTTGTAAAATTAGGGGTCATTTTAATGTATAGGTACCAGCTTTAACTTCTAAATATCTCGTAGTCATTACGCAATCTAATAAATATGTAACATTAAAGGTAATGTAAGCTACAAGGGCGCTTCATGATGCATTTCGTATGACCGTGCACACACAAACATTAATACAAATTGCAGCAATAAGTTTTAATTAATTAATTAAAAAGCCACTCTATACCCACGTGATATGGTTTACATTTCACGAGTGGTAAAACCGAAATAGTTGGTTTATATTATCGTATATTAATTGCCCCATAGTTGAATGAATTTTTTAATAAAGAATTGTTGATTTTATTGAATCGCCCACTGCTACTTAAAAAGGGTGTGTTGTGACATTCATGGTTAATACATGTATTAGTTATTCGTGATTTTCAATGAAGGTTAGTTTCTATTTCCCATTGATTTTAATCGTTTATTCTATATATAGTTATAATATATATTTTATTGTAGTCCATCGACCGTGCCATTAAACCGTACATTATCACGATTTTAACTTTAACAAAGGGAGATATTCTAGTACCTTCTTAAAACTTGTTTGTCAGCAACAGATCAACTTTATAGCTTATTTTATTTATAGAAACCGTGAGCAGGTTTAGTTAAGTAGTCGTGGTGGCCTGAAGACATGCATAAAGGTGCGACTTTCAAACCTGGCAAGTACGAATGCGAGTTATAATAATATGTACTTTCTATGATTATTTAGACACCACTTGACATACAATAATGAAAAAAAATATTGTGAGGACTCCTGGACTTATAATTTGTAATTATTACATTGAAATCGCCAATCCGCCTTAAGCAAGCATGGTGATTAAATGATCAATCCTTATCCGTGTGAGAAGAGGCCTTTGCTCAGCAGTGGACACTTACATTATAGGCTGATGATGATGGTGGTGTGTAAGCAGGTAAAAGTGTCGTATACTAGTTATTATTTAGTCAATATTACCTGCAAAGTTCTTTTGAACACAACACAACAAATATATACCATACCGCTTCTTCAATATCAAACCAACACTCCTACATATGTGGATCAGCATCCTTAGTATTTCTTATTGAATTCTCTCCTACGCAGTCATAAAAAATGTTGCTATGAATAATTCGAGACAACACCTGCAGATTTACATCCTTTGTGCTATACATACCTATATACATACTTAGTACATATATGTACGAGCGGTGCCCTATAACGGAATACTTGTATTTAACTATAACATACAACCTTATTTGTTCCTCTTTGTTAGTTCTTAACGGGACTGTCCTCTTTCTGTGTTCCTTTATTATTCAGTCCTAAATAATATCGATGTAGGTACTTATATGTGTCTTATACTTCAAGTTTGTGTTTTAAAGGTTCAATACGAATGTTGTGTGGTGCTGGTAGAATAAAATGCGTTTGAGACCAGCATTTCCCGCAACTCTTTGTGTGATCCACAAATAGTTGTTCCGGGTCTGGGTGTCATGTGTATGTGAAATTGTATGTTTGTAACCGCACCCACGACACAGGAAAAATCCTAATGTGGGGCAACGTTTTTAAAAAAAAAAATATAAAAAAAAATCCCGAAGATAACAATCACCCATCTCTTTTTGCACGCTAAAGCAATCCATTCAGCTCTCTTACTCGCCAAGACGGGAATCTGAGACTCTTACTGACTAAAAAAACCACCCCGTACCTTGAACCTATTCTCTTAGGTCTCATTTACGCAAACATATCACTTTGTGCGGCGCGTCATGAAGTCCGTTATACATTGCTTGTGATCTTCATGTATTTGTATTTACACGGGCGATATTGCGATCTACAGTTGCAATGTACGACAAACGTTAGACGAGCTGTTCGATAGTCGCGTATGCCTGAAGGAGGCGAGAGATCAATATAATAACCGAAGTCTATATAAACATAAGTATAATACTATATATGTGTTAATATATACGGCGCTTTTATCAAAAATATCTCTTAATTCTCAGATTTTGGGTCATCCACAATCCACCTGTAAAACACACAAGATAGTCTCATTCCGAGCTCTCGTTAACGTAATCAACACCGCTACTTGTAACATTACATGTTATGTCGTAAATGCATATCATTTCCAGATTGCAAAAATCCTCGAGACATTCTCTCACAAGCAGCATTTTTAATTTCGATCATGTGTTTTCGACCCTGGCTTTCACTATTTTTGAATTTATTCGTAGTATACAAAATAGTATTTATTTTATTGCGTCTTCCAAGTGTAGATAAATTATATAGAAAAACACAATATAATGACGACATTCAGGTAAGAGAAAATGGAAAAACATAGAGAAGGATACGTTTTTGTGAACCGTTATTAATATTGACAAAAACGCAAATGAGTTGTCATCTGATTAAATAAATAAATCCTTCATAGTCGTGCAATGTCGATCATTGCCCTCGACAATCTATTATAGATAATTCAAACTTCCAATAACTATTATAAAATAGCTCTACACCTTAGGATTACCTTGCTATTTGTCCAGCACTGGTGGGGCTAACAGGGCTGAAGCTCAGCCAGGGTTTCGTATGAAAGCGCTATTATGTATGTATACTGCAGCCCCGGCCCAGAGCAGGAGAAGGAACTGGTTAGTTTTAAGTCAGTAAAAATCTAACATACACTCCCACCCCACTCAAGGTAGAAAAAGTACCTAATTTAAATGATTTTCTCCCTAAAAAGGATTACAAAATATATTTATGTAAATGTGCATAGACACATTTAAATAAACGGTTAATTTAAATAACTCGGCTAACTCAAGTACGCCGTCCATATCTCAAGGATCGAGTAAATGCTTGACTTCTTGTTGATATTGGTCATTATGTCAAACTAGCGGTAAATTCAAGTGCGCGGTCAAGGCGTTGTCTGCGCATACGCATTATTCTTTCTCCTTCGAGGATTGCTCTACAATCATTCCTCGACCATCCGCTGCAGTGTCGGGACGTGCCGAAATAACATTGAAGAACACGGAATTTATAAATTTTGCCTAGTTATATAAGTTTCCAAAGGTGAGTGAATTATTATTTTTATTATATATCAATATTTCCGCTTATATAATTATTTCCTTATTACACATATAGCCGTGATCTATTGTCAATGTTATCTTTTATTTTTGTTAACATGTCTGTTATTTTTTATTTCATTGATAATTAAGAAAATTAACATAAATTTTATTTTCGCGAATTCAAATTTACTAAAATACTTCGTAATTTTGTCTCAAAAAAGCTTTAACTAATTTCAAAAAGTTCCCAACTACATATGTAGCGCACATAATTCTGTAAAGGTTTAATTAATTAAACGTTGTATTTAATTTTACGTGTAGTGGTTATTCGACTTAATTTAAAAGATACGATGTTGTCTAAAACAAAATCCTATGACTTAAATAAAATTAAATCTATTTAACATAAAACAATTTACCACATTCCAAGATCTGATTTAATATAAGTAAAAACTAAGCTTCTCGTAATCTTTCAGTCTTATCAATCAACAATAGAAGTAGTATAAATTTAGAAATATATTTTTCTTTTAACAGCTATAACTAGTAATATCTTTGGATAGGTCTAGGTTTATGGACAGAAATATGTATAATATAATTCATTTCGAAACTCAAAGATATATATGCACATATGGAACTTACTACTACTTACTGGAATTAGATGTAAGTATAAATAAATACTAATCAATTCAGCAAGAACCAATTTCATAATTTAAAACCTGACGTCCATATCATACGTTTTTTATAGACACAAAATAATACATACTTATCGATAATTGCGAGAAAAAGTTTTTGATCAAAAATGTTTAATTACTTAGTTAAAAACATAAAATTTAATGCAACATTATTTTCGTAATCATCGAAAAGACATTTCATATTTGGAATCATCGAAAAGACATTTCATATTTTTAATGTATCGGTTTTATTATGTACTAGCAACCCTCCCCGGCTACGCACGATTGTAATTCTGATATTTAATTTCTCCACTATTTAAAGTATGTTATTATACATGTAAAAGTTCCTCATCAATCTCTCTGTCTAAAAAAAACAGTATCAGAATGCGTTGCGTAGTTTTAAAGATTTAAGCACAGGGACAGAGAAAGCAATTTTATTTTATACTATGCAGTGATATGTTTAATAATCAAAACAGAGTTATCTGTTAATGTTAGCTAAATCACACAATTATCAAATATATAGATAGATGTCGGTGGGTGATTCTTAATTTTAATTAACAATTAATAATTTTAACATCTTCTATATATACCTGTATTATGCAATTATGCGATTAAAACACATATAGTGATTTTATTAAATTAATTACAAGCAATCGATTAAAAATATTTTGAATAATAAATCAAATCGTTTATTTTGCAAAGAATATGGGTATAGTCACTAAAATGCTTTAAAACCCGGGAGGTTAATAATTTGTTAAATAAAAGTGAAGGTTTTTCGGAGAATCACCCCGGTACAGTTATCATCATTATTCTGAGGGCGTAACAATACCTATCTATGTTTTGATTTGCCGTGTTAACTGACCATGTAATGTCAATGCACGCCAAACTGAACGGGACATCTGTCACATAGACAAATAATGTAAACGCGCGTAGATCGCTCGAATAGAAAAGTCAACTTGACATAATTTATGGAATGTCAATGTCAATATCATAGATTCAATACGGTAGTTTCCAACTATAGTCAGAATTTTAATTCGATTCCTGATTTGACATAACCTATTGTCATTTTGTGAAATAATGATACCACATATAACAGTGTAGTGATGAACACAAAAATCGATAAACAATCAGTAAATCAGTTTCAGGAAGGCATTCAAAAAATTACGGGTACCGAATGGTCTAAATGCGTACCTCATGTTGTCAAAAAAGAGGAAAAAATGAGTAATCTAGATATGTTAATTGACAATAAAAATCTCAGACACAATTCATAATAAATGTTACAGAAAGTAACAGCGACTAGCGATAGCGATGACGGACAATTTATAAAATGTCTGTTTTATTTGTCATGTTCCTTCATGATCACATTTTTTATTAATTTCACACACAATTACAAAAGAAATGTCTCAGATCGTTAATAAATTGTCAAAACTAAATTATCGGTTCAGAAATATTTTATTTCCTGATAAACTTAGTTTACGAGATTAAATTTATAAACGAAAGGAATCGATTCAGAAATATTCGATTTCTACATCGAATAATTTCGCAACGTCACTATTTATTACGTGTCATAACGTTGCAACACTGAAATTGTCAAATCTGGAATGGAATTAAAATTCCAAGTATAGTCAAATTCAATACTTTTATCAAAATGTCAAAAACAATACTTTTCTTTGAAATTTGTATGAAATACTGAGTTATGACGTCACAGAATTGTTGCGTCAAATATCTTACTTATTACTTAAAATTTTGCTAATAGGTATCTTAAATATCGATCGATCAATGAATAAAAGTGTAGTTATTTTTCAATATTTTATTGTATTGAAACGTCAAATTAATTTGTTTTTGACCTAGGAAACTACCCAATTGTACGCATTTGACAAACGGTAAAATATCAATAGTCTAAGGAGGATGATGTTCTTATGTTAACCATACTTCCTAAGAAAATGTTGATATCATTTCCAAAATTTCCGTAGAAATAATAAATTCCCTACAATCTATATTTTTGTCACACTTATTAATTAACCTGGATTTGTAACATAATTAATTGTTAAGATGTTTCTGTCACTATTTATCTACGATACGATTTTATGTTAAGTAATTGTGTTTATCTTAGCAATTTTTACACCGGCAAAAACAAAACATCATATAGAGTACTGTTATTCGTATTAATGTGGTTTTTCACCTTAAGTTTTATATATTTCAAGAAATCGTCATTATATCAGTTAAAAAGAACCATGTGATAAGTTTCATATTGAACACTTTTTTTTAAATAATTATTTTATAAAGCTAGTTTTAATTACGTGGATACGCATTAAGTTATTACTATTGAAAACCCTACATAAGGCAAAACCTCTTCTAAAACTACGCATTTCTAAGTATTGTTTAGAAAATATTGAACTTATCTAATGTAACTTTATAGCAGTTTTATGTAAATTGTGATGTTACTTTTTCACTTTCGTTTGAATATCATTAAACAGACAAACCGGTTTCCATTGACAGTGTTTGTTTACTTTTTATTTTTACGTTTTGCTTCCGCGTTTTTGATATTTGATCTGCAAATAGATAGTACCTGAATGTTCGTTTAGTACCTAGTATATATCAAAATCAATCGCCACTGCGTACGATATGTCCATATAGTTGTTAATATAGTCAATATGTCAATATAGTTGTAGTGTTTTACTAAACCTTTCCATTTTATATTTTCCAGGCAAAATGAGATTGAAACACATATTTATTTTGGTCCTAATAGCACCATTAATAATAAGCGCTTACAGTTACGACATAGATGACGAATTTGCCACAGTAGAAGATGATACAGATTACAGAGGTGGCAGAATACTTTGGCCATACCCACTGAAGCAGAATAGCACAGACAGTACCAGAGATGCAGACTCTTTGAAAGATATAGAAGAAATGGTACGAGGAGCAGTCAGTGAACGACAAAAGCGTTTTTTACATTTGTCGCCGAGATCGAAAAATATGATCGTAGACACTATGATGCAGTTTGTCTCACAGCACCCACAAAATAATGCCAAGGACCCATTAGATTTCTTAAGAGATACGTACCCATTACCCAAAGGTAACACACGAGTTGCATTGTTCCTACAAATAAAATAAATACCATTATAATGTAATCAGATAATTTTAGAACCTAAATCTGTAACGCAAAGCTATTATCGAGTGTCGTATCTTATTGTTCTCGTAATTTTATTCTCGCATTCGTATCCAAATTTTTAATTATATTATTGTTTACTTGAAGGTTGTGACAGAAACTTGACACTTAAAGATATCCCTTTCAGAGTTCTCAGCCGTTACCGCGTTTTTATAAGTTAAGCTTTCAATATAAAACATTAATGCGACTGTGACAGAATTTAAATATTGATATGTACTTTACAGGATAATATTTTATTCCATCGAGAGTAAGTCTAGCAAACATTTGCTGTAAAAACAGTAAGCAATATCTAAGTAGGCTATGAATGAAAGATAGATAGGGTATCTATATAATATAGACCGCTTTACATACTTCTAGACATTCTCTTTGAAAACTACTTGTACAACCCACTAAGGACACTTAATTACATCGAAATGAGACTCTCAATAAAATTTCTTTTTATTTTGGCTATAATAACAATAAAACTCTGACCATATTTATGGCTACTTTTCCAGGATATAGCAGCCCACTGGATGAGTATGACTATGTGATCGTTGGTGGAGGAACGGCGGGATCCGTTTTAGCTGCCAGGCTGACTGAAGATAAACCAAAAGCCATGGTACTGGTGATCGAAGCTGGAAGACCTGAGAGTCTTCTTTCAGACGTACCTGCCTTATTGTCTGTTGTACAACTTGATGACTTCGTCTGGCCTTACACGATGGAACATCAACCAGGAATTTGTTTGGGTAAGATGTTTGAATTTTTACACTCAGTTTACGCTAGCTAAGGTATAAAAACCATTTTTGGATTAGAACGCGAGGATATATTGTCATGCTGGGCATCATCAAGTCTTGAGACCAATCACCAGAAAGACAAGGTAGAAAGACACCTCACCACACACTATTCTTTTATAATTTATATGTTTTCTTAGCAGTTTTATTTTTTACAGTAACGTAGTGAAGATTGTACGGTAATATTATGATATTGTCATGTTTGATGCTGTAACTTTCACTTGAGCTACGAAACGATCAGGTTATTGAGAAAAACTTAGTTAAAACACAACAATTTGTGGATCACACAAAGAGTTGATCCATATGGGAATCGAACTCGCGACACGGCAGCCAGTTGCCCAACCACCGCGCCAACTGTGCATTCAAATCATGTGGTCATTAGATATAGGTACATCTCAAGTTATAAAACTTTGTCTGAGAAATATCTATGAAAAGTGATTTCTTAAGTAAATATTTTGTTATTTACCTTAGTCACAATATATCACCTTTTTAAAGAATAATTCTCCATAAATGATGCGGAATGAGGAAGTCGCTTTAGTGTCGTTATGTTGATATGTTTACACAGTTATACGGTGTTTCTTAACGAACTATAGAACTTAACAATTATGTTAATTGCCTGAATACTGCTACTGGGAGGGAAACTGGTTTACAATCCATTACAATGCAATATTAATTTAATGACATGGTGTCCCGGAGCTTAAGGCGCAACCTTCTTGCACAAGAGGGAGCGGGTTCGAAACGTGGTAAATACCTACCAATGTGACTTTTTCTGTATTATATATACTTTTTAGATTTATTTAGACGCCACTGACTGAACGGAGGTTTTTAGTCAGTAAGAGTCGTGACACACCCTCTCACACTGGGCGGGAGAAGCCATCTAATAGAGCCATATAATAAAAAGGATGCTGCTCTAGCTATATATATACCACTTTTCATTCAGACGTAAAAGTTTTTTCGAGCTACTAACTTTAGAATATTTGCAAAAAACTTCATAACATGTGTTACGTAAAATAAAATAAAAAAAAGAAAACTTGTATTTTTTTGAATCCATTAAAATAAAGATAGTAGTATTACGATTCCAAACTTATTATTATTAACTTTCGCTATTTTTACGACAACCGAGTTCATTGTCCTCGACGAAGGACAGGTTATGTGATTAATTCGTAGGACTGTGAATAAGTAGTATAAATATACTAAATAGTATAAAAGTATTAGCATGTTTTGTATCATCCTAATACTTTGCAAGTAGGCAAAAATGACACTTCACTAGTCTATCTTACGGTTCGATTTCCAACCCAAACGAATGTAAAATACAGTTTTAGTAAATGCTAGTGATGTGTACTTAGTGTAAGTCAACAAAGTGAGCCGTTATACAAAATATCTTACTAACAACAATTACCTACAAACAAAAAGACCAGTGAATATTTTTTGCACAAATTCAATCGCTTAAAATGAACTACGATTTGTTTTGTTTGGTGCATAAATAGCGTACAAGGCGTGCTGTGTGGGATTCTCGTGTTAAGCTATACAAATCCTAGCGAATGCTAAAGTGTTAAACTGGGCGTAAAAACTTGCTTTAGTTTTCTGTCCTCTTTAATACCTACACTATATAATGATCATACACTGGTAAAATATTTACCAGACTACGCGACTCATAAGTTTTAATATCTAGATTTGTCTCACACAACACCAAAAAAATACGAGTGCGTCAAATACCTATTGGGGATTAGGGTTTCAGAGATTTATGGATTGGGGAGGAATGGGGGAGGTAAAGGATTGGGCGTAAGATAACTTCAGTCACAAGGCGAATCACCACGATGTGTTCTTTTCACAGTTTTCCAGTTTCCTGTAAGGCTGTACATAACATAATTTCTTTTTGATTTTTGATAGTATCACGAAAACTTGAACTTTCTGCATGACTACAGCTCCACGCCTACAATACAACATCCACATTACACTAATTACACTAATTTTTTATCACCCCCACTTAATTTGGATCAACCTTATTTTCTCCCTACTTAAATTAACCTTTAGCCATATTATTAGAGACAAAGGACTAATTTCTCGTCTATGTTTCTGTCTTTGAACAATTTCTACATCTGACACATACAGCGCCTAAACATTGATAATGACAAAAAAGTAATAAGTTAGAAACAAAATATTTCGCAATATTAAACATTCATTGCCAAGTCTTGATACGTAATGTTATCTTATTATAATTCCAGCCAGCAAAGACCAGCGCTGTTTTTGGCCTCGAGGAAAGGCGCTGGGAGGTAGCAGTGTAATCAACTACATGTTATACACCAGGGGCCGTCCACAGGATTGGGACAGGATCGCTTCTGATGGAAACTATGGATGGTAAGACCAATATTTTTCTATTAATTTTCTTTAATAAACTTTCTAAAGTCTTACATAAATACTGTTAAATTTTAATTTCCTGAAGGTAGGTAATTATCGAATTATCGTGTACTTAACTTGTTAATCAATGACACTTATTATATCTTTTCTCCGCAGTTATGTTAAGAATACTTGTTCGAGTCGATTGCTTAAAAATTATTCTACTATACCCTGTGTGATTTAAAAATCGATATCCCATACACTGATAGAATTCAAATCGTTAAAAATTCAGCTTTAAGTCGCCAAAAATAAGGTACCTACTACTCTGATAAATAGAGTACTGGCCGTATTCACCCCGTTAGGCCAAGGGGTAATGACTTCTGAGCTCAGATTCCGAATATAACCTGCTGCAGCGAGGTATTAAAGTATTATCGGACCTGCTTGAAACCTTATCTCGGATGCCCAGAACCCATTCTCATTAAATATGAAATACAATGCTTAGATCCTTTTTGTCCCCAATAACTTCATAGTTTAATCAATCGTTGATTTACCCTATCAATAAGGTAAAACTTCTCTCCGTTTTAACACCGACAATCTCAACTTCTAATCGAATATCAGCAAATCGAATGAATATTTAATTCGTCCAATTTGAATTATTGATGGCCACTTTTACTTTTTTGTGCAATTTAAATTACAAGTATAATTTTGCTTTTAATAAGTATAGTGATCTGTTTTTAAAGCATTGATGATTGCAATTCTAGTGATGGCCAGTGATGATGTTTGGTCTTAATTTAGTTACAGTTATAGTATGTTTCAAAATATTATTGTAGCAAAAACGTATTATTTTGTTGTGTTAAACCGTATAACAGTAGGTAGTAGGATGTATTCACATCCACATTACAACTTAAAATTTCCTCTAAGTTACTTTACATAATTATTAACGTAATTAAACTTCTTTTTCCACAGGAACTACGATGAAGTTCTAAAGTATTATATAAAATCTGAAAAATCGGAAATAAAGAAGTATAAGAACTTGCCATACCGGGGCCGTGACGGGGAGCTAACAGTTGAGAATATTTCATTCAAGTAAGTTACAAACTGTTATTAATTTCAACTAAGTATTCAAAGTTCCTTACTTAATTAAAACTAAGACTTGTGAGATTTTAAAGTTCCCATCTGATGTGATGTTTCGTTCACAGGACTGGTTTGGTTGAGGCTTTCCTCGCTGCTGGACGCGAAAACGGACACCCTACCGTTGATTACAATGCACCCGATCAAGTCGGTTTTGGTTACGTGCAAGCTACACAAATAAAAGGACATCGAATGAGCGCCGCTAAAGCATTCCTGCACCCTCACAAGCGACGACGCAACCTGCACATCCTTACAGACGCGCGAGCTACCAAGGTCATCATCGACCCTCAATCTAAAAGAGCGTACGCTGTCGAGTACTTTAAGGATGGCGTGAAGCGCACAGTTCGTTGCCGACGTGAAATAATTTTATCCGCCGGCCCAATTGCTTCACCGCAATTGCTCATGCTCTCAGGAATAGGACCGGAGGAACACTTAAAGTCGCTGGGAATTCCTGTGCTTGTAAATTTACAAGTTGGAAGGGTTCTTTACGATCATATAGCATTCCCTGGAGTTATTTTCAAACTAAACACAACTAACGCCAGCTTGTTGGAGCCTAAAGTCGCAACATTTTCAAACCTTATTCAGTGGTTACAATTCGGAGAGGGACTGTTAACTACAGCTGGTGGAATTGAAGGTATTGGCTATTTGAAGACTTCGGTATCGCAGGATCCAGAAAACGTTCCCGATATAGAATTATTAAGTATGGCCGGCTCTCTTAACTTAGATTCAGGAGGTGCACTAAGAGAAAGCTGGAGACTCTCTAAGCCAATATTTGACTCCATATTTTCACCTTTATATGGGAAAGATACGTGGTCAGCTGTTATAATGTTAACTCATCCGAAGTCAAAAGGTTACCTTGAGCTGAGAGATTCTAATCCATTTTCGCATCCAAAATTGTATGGTAACTACTTGACTGACCCACAAGATATGGCCACGATGTTAGAAGCAATCAAACACGTAATTCGGCTGGGCCAGTCGTCAGCTTTTGCTAAGTATAACCCTAAACTGTTCTTAGGTGATTACCCAGCTTGTAGAAACTATGTTCCTGGATCGGACCCGTACTGGGAATGTGCTATTAGAACGATGTTGATAACACTTCACCATCAGATTGCGACTTGTAGAATGGGTCCTTTGAGTGACCCTTATGCTGTTGTGGACCCTGAGCTACGAGTGTACGGTGTGGATGGACTGAGAGTGGTGGACAGCAGTGTTATTCCACGACCAACTAATGCACATACCGCGGCTCCTGCTATTATGATAGGAGAGAAGGCCGCCGACTTAATAAAGCAAACATGGTTAAACGTGGTCTCATAAACTCATAACTTAATTATAGTGATAAATTAAATTATTACTTAGTATAAGAATCTGCCTAATAGATAAGATTATACGTATCTTTTAAGGGAAGTTATTTTGTTTATTTTACCAAAACAGTGTACTTTTCCGTCTTCTGCCCTAAATCCATTTATAATTGTGATATTTTTATACAAATTTTTGGTAACCCAACTTCTCTTACCTTAAGGTCTCGTGATTTTTCTTACATTAATACGGTACTTCACTGGTCGTAGACCTCTACCCTCTGAAAATGCACAAAATGTACCTTAATATTAAATAATTGCACGAATAACGAAATACTATAAATCATCGAAGTACCTACGCTAGGTTAGTGATTTTATTTCCAATTATTACCATAGGCCCGAGTATCGAGTCAAGTAGGCATAAATATTTGAATAGGTTCGGAATAGCGAAGTCGACGACCTATTCCTAATTTAGTATCGCAGTTTTTATGCAGGTATAGGTAACAAGAACATTATATATGGAATCAATATTTATATGACACATATATGTAAATATATGTGAGTCGTGGTAGCCTGGAGGTTAAGGCACCCGCTTCTCATGCATGAGGATGCGCATTCGAAACCTGTCAGGTAGGTACCAATGTGACTTTTTCAAAGTTATATGTACTTTTTATGATTATTTAGACACCACTGACATACGGCGAAGGAAAACACCGAGAGGAAGTCTGGCTTATAATTTTAATTATAAGTTTGAAATCGCCAATCCGCCTTGAGCAAGCTTGGTGATTAATGCTCAAACCTTCTCCGTGTGAGAAGAGGCCTTTGCTCAGCAGTTGGCACTTATAGGCTGATGATGATAGTGATTTATATGACAAGAAGCCAGAAGTGCGACTGATAATATGTTGCATGCAGGTTAGTTTAATTTTTTTAGCAGACTTACTCAATCAAATACACCGCAAAGCCAACCGTAACCATGAACATGGACAATTAAATGGTAACAACAACAACACAAAAAAACATTTCAGTTGAATAACGAAATCAGCGAGCATCGTTTGATTTCATTACATTAATAGGCGTCGGCTGGGAAAGGGTTTTATGCTCCGTCATGTTTCCCCAAATAATAAAATTAATGGTTCTTCTATACAGAGATCCATTAAGGTGTGTACTGTGTATTCAGTGTTTGCATTAATATTACCTTTAGGGAAAGGAAAAGATTGATTTTGTGATGTCGTAAACATTGTTCATAGAGAAATGTCTCCGTCTGTCATTCTATGAAAATGGATTCAGTTCATAAGCGCAAGCGCACTTTGTTATAAGTTAAAATATATTTCAGATAAATAACAGATATAGTTAAACCAACTTTACACTTAAATCAAATTAGAAAATTATTACACTTAAATCTCGGAGATGTTTCAATGTATCATACCTCGCGGATATCTATGCACAACACGTTTCGTATTGTCAAAAATGAAGTTTTCTGTGTGGGAGGAATCCACATAAAAATAGGGGAAACTTTATAAAGAGAACATTGTGTTAAAGCTAACAAAACCAACACTATCCGATGGAGGAATACTAAGTAGGTTCTGCTAAGTCAGTTGGAGATGTTTTACTATACACACATATATAGATGAATATCGCGAATATTCCCAATATCGACTATCATACTGTTACGGCGGATCATTGTCGATTTATAGAATTCTTTATTGCAATTTGTAAATACGTCTGTTTGTAAAACATATTGGTTTGTAAAACGTATTGTGTTGTGTGAACTAAAGAATTTAAAACTGTATCAATTCGACAAAAGGTTTTTTTTAACAAATTAATTTTATGAGTAAGTAAGTAGTTGAAAATGAGGCGCACCCGTGTGCATAAAGTTTTTCTTCAAGCAAAGAGTTCGCGATATTTTTTTTAGTATTAAATATTTTTTATCTATCTTGGGAATCGATCTGAAAATCTGAAACTTTTATACACCAAAGTCTGCGAACTTAAGGCACCTTGTTATAAATTACATTAAGCTATTTACATATTTCAAAAAGCCGCGCCACCGGTCCAGGACTGCTGTTCACTTTCTATTTTTAGAAGTTCTATTACAGTATGAACTCTGTATAAAAATACGCAACTAATCATTGTTAGGATCGTAAATACATGAATAAATTAAAACAAAGGGTTGCCCCTACCTTTAACAGGTTCCTTTGTATTAAAAAACTTTCTCCGTTTTTATGGAGCCTATTTTTATTAAACCGGGGCTAGGTACTGCATCATGCAATTTGTTAGAAATAACGTGTTTACAGTAAAATTACTTGGTACACAGAATCGTTCCTATCAGATTGCCAATCCTTTATAGGTCTACTCCACATATTTTGATGAAAATCACAGATTTTTAAACTCGTTTACGAATAAGCGGCGCGTTGCGTGAAGTGTCTTGCGTTTTATCATACATTGCAGTTAATGTTCACGATTTTGCACAAGAGATGATGCGGCCTGCTGATGTAAAATGTAGGACAAATGCACAACGCGCTGCACGACACGTCGCGTGTGCGTAAATGCAGCCTTAAGACGGCGAGCAAGGGTATTTCGCCGCCCGATTAGAATTAGACCCCTAGTTAGGCCCCTAGACAGGGCCGATCGGCCTCGAGCAAGAGAAATAACGTAAGGGTTTTTAGTCAGTAGAAGTCTGGCACTCCCTCTCGCCATACCCTGGGCTAAAGAAGTCCTTTGATAATTCTTTTGTTGATTTTCCTTCCTCAAAAAAGGGAAAAATGCTGGCTTCGGCAGTACATTTACTAAAACTGGAACGATACAGGGAAGATTAGAGAAGTAAGCAAGTTCTTAAGTCGAAAATTTTCTTGGTAAGTCTACATCTTAGCTGACAGGGGTTTTATTTTAGGTGAAAACGTAATGAAATTGCTCCTCTTGGATAGGGTTAGAGAGAGTATCAGACTCTTACTGACTAAAAACCACCCTGTTCCTTCAACTACTCCAGGCCAAGGACGCGGTAAATTATTGCGCTTATAGCCGCGACCCCGGCAGAACCGGGGGTTACGCGTTAGTTTATTCACAATTCGTTGTGTTTGGAACTATCATTTACATTTTTATAGATAATGGTGTATAAAATTGTCATTGTTTTCAGCATATTCCACTGAATATAAGTTATCAGTGCTTTCTTTCAATCATTTACTCAATATTTAAACTGAAAAACATCTATTTGCTTGTTGCTTTTCAACATAAATGCATTATTAATTAAGAGAACAAAAGCAGTATGGAAACGCATATGTATTACGTACAATAAATCGCATGAAACAACGCAGTAACTACATGAATATGCAAAGGCGGCTCTCAAATCAGATTTCAGTTATGCGTGACTCTAAACTGTTAGCAAATCGGCGATTTACCGAAATTGATAACAATAACCTGAGTTGTAAAAGTGAAGGCATTCAATTATGTAAAGAAATTAATTATTTACATAATTATAAGTACGGTATAAGTACCGTAGGATTTTTTTTTTATTTTATAGAGACGTGTCATCAAAACATACACTACTGTCTTCGTAAATTATATTAAATAGTTTTTTTTTATGAAATAAGTCGACAAACGGCTAACTTGATGGTAAGCAATCGGCGCCGCCCATGGACACCCGCAACACCAAAGGAGTTACGTGTACATTGCCGGTCTTTTGGGGATAAGGGTTGCAGATGTTTAAGGATTGGAAAGGGATAGGGGAGGGATTGGGCTTCCGATAACATCACTCACACGGCGAAACACAACACTGTAGTTGTTTTACGCCGGTATTCTGTGAGGCTGTGGTATCACTCCGGTCGAGCCGACCCATTGGTGCCGAAGCTTGGCTCTCCCACACTTACCCTTGTATAAGCAGCCTAACATACTGGTCTTGTATTAGGGCGCACTTTTAAACTTTATTAAGAAGTGACAAGCAATCGAAAGCGTTCTTTTTAGGGCATTTAAAAATACTATAAAAACTATCAATTTATAAAAGTATAACAAAATATGACCATTGGGTTTTCAGTTTTTTCTTCACTGACATAGGTACAGCAATCGATATAGATATGTATATTCTCCAAATATTTGTTTATGTGTATGTACCGAACACTCACTTAACTTATATTTCCTGAAAGTAATTAATTCAATAGCTAAGTGCCATGAAACTGATCCCGAACCATTGTAGTATCTCAAACATCGTCATAACAGTTAACTAGACCACCGAGCCTACCGATTTAACCCCGATAGGCATTACTGTATCCGATTTTAGATACCCACATTTATCAAACTTGATAGGTAGGATAGGTAATCTACCAAAATAGTTTACCAAGAAATGCTACCTTGTTTTAACACTGGTTTTAAACGTGATTCATTGATGAAAAATTTTAATTAATATTTATTAATATTTTTTTCGGGCAATTCTAATGTTAAATTTCCTTTAATTTATTAAAATAAAATGATGAAAGAATACATCTTAAAGGAAAACTGAGAATACTCTCTTATATTTGTGAAGGAGCTGCCATTTGCACGGTCTCACAGTCGCATAATTACTGCCACGGCACTTTTCAACATCACTACAAATTGTAAAATTCTTTTGCTACATTTTCACCGCAAACAAGCTAAACTTCTTATTATAAAACTAACTGTTGGTTAATTGCCATAGTTTAAGGATTTAATCGAAAAGTTTTAACATTAATCAACTTATAATTATAGTCGATTAACTATTCTTGATGTTAATCAACACTTTCAGCATGAAATAATTTATTTTCGGTTTATGCGTTAACTTATTTATTTTCTGTGTAAAGGAAATAACACAATATTCAGATTTCAGTAGAGTTATTTAACATTACAAGAACTATGAAAATATTGTATCGATTTATTGCTAAAAAAACATTTTCAAGGCAAACCATAGCAAGAGCCAGCTAAATTGGTGTTTATCATAACCATCGCTGTAATTTTGTATTACAGACAATGTCGGTGATGAGGGAAACGATTGCAAAAATGAAGGTTTCCTACCAAAAG